AAAAAAAAAAAAAAAAAATTTCCCAAATATACTTGATTAAAGGGATCACATCATTCATCTTTGTACCCTCAGCCCCTAACAAAAAATCTGTTTCATAGTAGATGTTCAATAAATGGTTGATGACTGGGTTATTAACTAAAAGGAAGGGCTATCAAGGTACAGATATGCCTAAGCATTAAATCAATAAATGCATCTCCCCCAAAGGCTCATGGAGCAGTACCAGGTACTTTTATTAATGGCATTCTTTCAGTAGCTCCACATTTCCCACTGTGATTTGAGGGAAAGGAAGTGCTCAGACCAGATGTCTAGTTTATAAAGAAAGGAAGTCCTCTAGTGATCCCCTAGACCAATTCAAGTCTAAGTATTTCCTTCTTCAACGTTCCCTCTGCTCTTTGTACATATATACCCCCACAGCTGTATGTTATCTTGTACATACCAGTACAGGAGAGAACAAGGACTTTCCATTTTCCCACCCCATCACCTAGTATGAGCTGACACACGCGGAACCACCAATTGCCCCTCAGTGGTATCAGGACTGGACTGGTCTCTCCAGGCCTGTGCTCTTCCACACCGCACAGAGCGCTGCCCCCAGGGGGGACGGTGCAGCCTGGGCTCTATCGCCGAGGAGGAAGGAGTGTCAGTCCCAACTCCACGCTTAGAGACTGGCATCCCCACAACTGTCCAATTCCCACGCCCCTAACACGCGTCGCCCCCCGCTAAAACACACGCTCTATGACGCTGGGGGTCGCGTGGGTCTTGCTCGCAGCAGGGCCTGGCGCAGCCCTCGCACCTGACAGGGGCGGCCTAAGCGTGCGTTGGGTCAACAGCACCGGCACGCCGCGGCAAGGGCTCCCGGGGTGGCGGCTTCGCACCCTGGCGAGCTGCGGGGGAGAAGCGGGCGCCCGCTCCAGGCCCCGCGGGGACCCACGAGGACGAGGCGGTGCCTGGGAGTAGGGAGGCTGGGTGGCGCTCCGGCAGCCCGTGCAGGCCTCGCCCTTCGCGTCTTCAACAAGGAGGGGGCGGCGCCTGGGTCTAGGCCAGGCCGCAGCGGGAGTCCCGGCCGCCCTCCTCCGCCCGGGGCAGCCCCCCGCCCGGCTCGTTACCGGTTCCGCTGCTCCTTGAAGAGCGCCGTGAGCGCGCGCAGGGCCTCCAGGTCCTGGATGGGCGCCGGCACCATGACGCCCGACAGCCGGGCAGGCGGCGGTCTGGGCGCCGCCATCTTGCCGCTCGCAGCTCTGCGGAGCCTGACGAAGAGGAGGAGGAAGGCGAGGAGGAGGGAGGAGGAGGATGGCGAGGAGTGAGGAGGAGGAGAGCGAGGAAAAGGAGGAGGACGCGCCCTACACAGCCCCGACCACCGCCGCCGCTGCAGCCCGCGTTGCCCTGAAGCTGCGCCGCGGCCGGAGAGCTGGAGGCTGAGCACAGGCTCGCCCCGGGCGGGAGGAGGGGACGGCGCCGCGGGGGAGGGGGCGCCGGCGGAAGTCCCGCCTGAGGGGAGGGGGCGCGGCGGAAGTCCGGCCTGAGGGGAGGGGGCGCGGCGGAAGTCCCGCCTGAGGGGAGGGGGCGCGGCGGAAGTCCCGCTTGAGGGGAGGGGGCTCGGCGGAAGTGCCGTGTGAGGGCTGGGAGGGATGCGGCGGGTGATTAACTGGGAGGTGTCGCAGATAGGGCTCCTCCGAGGGGACGCCAGGGTGAGGGGGCCCGTGTTGAGAGGGCAGTAACTGTGTCTCGGTCTCGGGAGCGGGTACCAGGGACAGAGGTTCACCCTGAGGAAGAGGGCCGCGTCCTATGGGAGGGGGCCCGCGGACCAAGGGGTCTCCCCCAGGGGAGGGGATCCCAGCAGGGAAGGGGTTTCGGTCTTGGGAGCGGGTATTGAAGACCGAAGTTCACCCTAAGAAAGAGGGGCGCGTCCTATGGGATGGGGCCCGAGGATAGAGGGGTCTCCCGCAGCGGAGGGGATCCCGGGGGGAAGGCAGGGGCCTGTGGGGGTGGGGTCGTAACTGGATCTCGGTCTTGGGAGCAAGTTCCAGGGACAGAGGTTCACCCTGAGAAAGAGGGGCCCTCCTATGGGAGGGGGCCCACAGACGGAGGGATCTGCCCTAGGGAGGAGGTTCTGGGTGGAGGGGACCCTCTTGGGAGGAGTCGCTGGCTGAAGGGCTCGGGAGTGAAGGGGGCCAGGCAGAGGCTTCCCCTACTAAGGCTGAAGACCTTGATCCCACCGCTCAAGTGGGTTGATCAGTGGCCCCGACCGCGGGCCCACTGGAAGCTGGAGCGGTCTGTCACCAGCATGCAAGTCTCAGACCCTGAAAACTCACTTCCCAGTACTTACTGGTGACTTGCTAATCAATACCAGACCACTTACCAGGCACTATGCCTAGGGAGAGAATACATTACTCCAGTTCTTCAAAGACTTCCAATACCGTTCCAAGTCAAGAAGCCAAGTTATACAGCAGTAGGGTAAGAATTGTTTTATCCTAAGAGAAATGAATATATTTCACAGCAATCAGACAAGGCTTCTCTAGCTGGTGGTGTTGATAACTCACATATTTTCTTTCCACTGCCCTTTATTAGAGTGTATATTCTTTATTTTAACAAAAATTGTTGCTAAGCCCTGTGCTAGGTGCTGAAGACATAAAGATCAAAGATAGTCCCAAACCTGAAGGAACCTCACAAACTATTAAGGAGACAAGCAAACATAACTGAGTATAGTTGTTAACTGCTGTGGCTGACAAATTGCTGTGGGACCACTTAAAATATGTAAATGCACACAGACCCTCTCCATTCCACTGGGAGGGTAGGCGTGTGTTTATAACATGGCATTTTAACATTCTTTGCTAAATAGAATGTAAAGATACAATAAACACCACCAGAGCATGCAGAAGAAATGAATCCTGGTGGGGCATACTGGCTGATGCCTATAATCCCAGCACTTTGGGTGGCCAAGGTGGGAGGATTGTTTGAGCCCAAGAGGTCGAGGCTGCAGTTAGCTGTGATCACACCATTGCGCTCCAGCCTGGGTGGCAGAATGATAACCTGTATCAAAAAAAAAAAAAGAAAAAAGAAAAGAAATGAATGCTGCACAAGCAAGTTACTTGATATTTTCATTAGGTTATCCATTTAATTGACTATACATTCATTCCATGAATATTTCTGTGTGCTGTGTGCAGTATGCTAGCCATTAGATCACCTATTAATAGCAATGCTCAAGACAATGCAAAATGTTTAACAATCCTTAAGCTGGCAGGGCAAGATCTCCCAATTTTCCCTTGAGGAGCAGAGGATGGTAAAATGTACTTGTTGTGCATCAAAATCCTGACCTTTATAGGTCAGACATCGTGGTTCACGTGTCTAATCCCAGCACTTTGGGAGGCCAAGGCGGTGGATCACTTGAGGTCCAGTCTGAGACAACTCTGGCCAGCGTGGCAAAACCCCATCTCTACTAAAAATACAAAAATTAGCTGGATATAGTAGCACATGCCTGTGATCCCAGCTACTCGGGAGGCTGAGGCAGGAGAATCACTTGAACCCGGGAGGCAGAGGTTGCAGTGAGCCAAGATCACTGCACTGCACTCCAGCCTGGGCAGCAGAGGGAGACTCCATCTCAAAAACAAAAACAAAACCCTTGAACTTTAGTTTTCTTACCGTCTAATGTAAAAAAAGTAAACATTCCCCATAATATTCATACTTCTTGCCTGGAATATTGCAATATACTCCTGATTTGTCTTTTGGCCTCTCTGCTCTTACTTCCTTATGTTTTAGATCCTTTAAACAACATGTCAACATTTAACTCTGCCCAAAACTGTCTAATGGAATTCCACTTCACTCAGAGTAAAAGCCAAGCTCTTCCAATAGAAAAGCCCCTAAATGACCTACCTCCTCCTTCACTGTCACCCCTAGCCCCCACAGGCCCTGGTCACATCTACTAGCCTTTTCCTCTTCCATTGCATTTCAGCCATGCTGACCTCCTATTGTCCTCTGTCTACTTAAAAGGAAGAAACTGAGGTAAAATTAATATAAAGAGTATATTTGGGACAACGTGAGCACTGCAGCCCAGGACACACATCCAAATTGCCCTGGGGAGTGCTATGGAGAACAAAAGAGAAGCTCAACTTTTTCAAGAAGAAAGAAGGAATCAGTTGAGAGGTGATTTAAAAGGTTGTTTGTCATGAATTCTCATTGGTTTAAGAAGCAGTGTTGGTTAATGATTGGCTGTACTATAGGTTGTGAGCCATTATGTGGCTAGTTGACATCAGTTAGTCTAGAGCCCAAATAGAATGTGGCTTCAGGAGGTAATTGGGGCAGGCATGGTGGTTCATGCCTGTAGTCTCCGTGCTTTGGGCAGCTGAGATGGGAGGACTGCTTCAACCCAGGAGTTTGAGACCAGCCTGGACAACATAGTGTGCGACTCCATTTCTCTGAAAAAAATTTCTTAAAAATTAGGCATGGCAGTGCATGGCAATAGTCCCAGCTACTTCAGAGGCTGAAATGGGAGGATTCGTTGAGCCCAGGAGCTCATGGCTTCAGTGAGCTATTACCACACCACTGCACTCCAGCCTAGGTGATAGAGTGAGACCCTGTCTCTAAAAAATAATTATTATTGTTTTTAAAAAGAGGGAAGTATTTAGCTCAAGGAGGAGTGATATGACCGATGTTTCATTCCAGTGCTTCTCTGGGCCTGGTCATTTAAAGGAGCTCATATTCCTCAGATAAACTTTATTTGTTACTTTTTTTTTTTTAACCCCACAACTCCACCAGGAAAAAGTACCCTCCTGCCTTAGGACTTTGTATATGCCAGGGGTTTTTTGTTTTCTGTTTTGTTTTTGCGTAGAACACCTCCTCACAAACATCTTCATGACTTGCTTCCTTATTTCCTTCAACTACCTGTTCAAATGATCTTTTAATGACCTTCCTGATAAATCTATTTAAAATTGTAACAGGCTACCCAAATTCCTGATTCCCAGGAATTTTCCCCATCGCACGTAATACTTGCTATATAATATAATTTACTTTTCTATTCTGTTTATTGTTACTTATCTATTTCACTTACTACTAGACTGTAAGTTCCACAAGGGTAGAGATGTTTGTCTCTTTTGGTTATTTTTGTATCTCCAGCGCAGCACCTAGAAACAAGCCCTACTATGTGATAATCGCTCAATAAAAGTTGAATTAATGAACAAATAATCTTTTTAACTATATCTGCAGAGGCCAGGCATGGTGGCTCATGCCTGTAATCTCAACACTTTGGGAGGCGGAGGCAGGTGGATCACCTGAGGTCAACAGTTTTAGACCAGCCTGGCCAACATGGTGAAACTCCCATCTCTACTAAAAATACAAAAAAAAAAAAAAAATTGGCCAGCCATGGTGACAGGCATCTGTTATCCCAGATACTCAGGAGGCTGAGGCAGGAAAATTGCTTGAACCTGGGAGGCAGAGGTTGCAGTAAGCTGAGAGTGCACCATTACACTCCAGCCTGGGTGACAGAGCAAGACTTCATCTCAAATACATAAATAAATAACATTTTGTGTGTGTGTGAGAGTGTGTGTATAACATTATATATATATAACATATATGTAAATATATAACATGTTATATGTAACATATGTATATGTTATATATGTTGTGTATAACATATATAATGTTATATACATGTGTTATATATTATGTTATATATATTTATATATGTGATATATATATATATAAAAAATGTTACATATATATCTGCAGAGAGGAGAAAGGAAATAGCATGCCTCTAGAAGAAGTGTAATAATCCAAAAAGTACAAGAAAGGAGGAGGATAGAAAAAGAAAAAAATTATAAGGGAGGAGATTAACAGGAGAGACAAAAAGTAGAAATATGCCTAAGAGAAACAAAAGGAAATTCAGCTGCTCAAACAGTAGGTGTTACTGACTGCCCAAAATCGACTAGAGGATTTCAACCTTGACTGAATTGACAGAACCAAGTTAATGTTTCACTAGGGCTAAATGACTTCTTTTTAATGTTGTATAGCTGTTTGACTTAGATGAACCAGATGAACATGCCACCATGTTGATGTACATGAATTCAACTCACATGAAATTTGTGATATAAATTTGTACCTTGAGCCCACTGCAGAACTGAATCAGCAATGACTCAGTAATCAAGAAAGAAGTAAAAAAAAAAAAAAAAAAAAAAAAAAAAAAAAAAAAAAAAAAAAAAAAAAAAAAAAAAAAAAAAAAAAAAAAAAGGAAGGCAAAAAGGAAATTCAGAGAAGAAAGTAGGTGAGGTGCAAGGCAAAAACAGATTTGGACCAAAGTGCATATGATTTTGGCAAGGAAAAGAAGAAGTAAGTGAATACTGGTAAAGAGAATAGAAGGTGAATGACAGGTGCGTAGAAGAATGTATGCTTGTGCTGCCTCTTTTATTGGAAACTTCCTTCTTAGCATCTCTGCCTATGATGCTCTTGCTAGAAAGCTTTTGTCATATGCCACCAA